CAATTTTTCATATGAATAATTTTCAATAAAATGAGTATGCAGAATGATTTTAGAAAAAGTAGTGAACGCGTATAATGACTTTTTTAAGTGATGGTTGCGGTTCAATCTCCAAAAAAGGTAGATGCATCCAGATTTTTATGAAAAAATGCTGTAAGCACAATATTTAACCGAAAAATAATTTTAAAAATAATGGTTACATGATTTCTCAAAAATAGGGAATGTAGTGAGAAACAAAAATTGTGGATGTGCAATTTTTCAAAAAATCAATGTGCATTTTTCAAACATGGTGAATATACTTTTTCAAAAAAAAAAAAATGGAGTATACAGAATGATTTTTAAAAAAATACTAAATGCAGAATGACAAATGGTGGATGTGTAATATTTCACAAAAAATGGTGGAGACTGAATAAAGTGATATTTTTCAGAAATGTTGGATACAGATTTGTTTTCCAAAAAATGGTACATGCAGAATGATTTTCTGAAAAATGTTGATAGCATGACTTTCCAATAAGTGGTGGATGCATGACTTTTAAAAACTGAAAATAGCCTGAATTTTCAAAAATGGTGAATGCAGAAACAAACATAAATGGTGGATGTAAAATTATTTTTCAATTAATGGCGGAAACAGAATGGTTTAAAAAAATGCTGAATGCACCATCATCTTTCAAAAAATGAAGGTGAAGAGAAACTAGAAGAATAAAAAAAAATACATTTTTGTTTTGGAAAATGTAGCTACATCCCTTTTTCTAAAAAATGAGGCAACATTCACCCCTTTTCAAAAATCCTTAATCATTCACCATTTAAAAAAATAAATGTACATTTAACTCTTTTAGAAAAAACATTACAATTTTCTTGTAAATCCCTGACCATCGACCTTTTTTTGGAAGGTGTGACTGCATCCACTGCAATTCAAATGCAGCTTTTTTAATAGTCGCTATAATTTAAAAAATGGTGAATGCCTGTAGCCCCCCATCATAAGTATTTTGGAGAGGTAAGTTTTGCAATTTTTTTGGATTGCACTAAACTATATACGATGTGGGTCATGAATCATTTTTGCTGTATATCTATTTTTTCTGCAAACAGAATATAAATACAATTAAAACAGATCAAACTAAACAACTTCATGGATACAAATACCAGTCATAACATATGTACACATCCAGTAATTAACAAATATAAAAAATGTGTCAGTGAAATTGGACAAATTACCGCTCATCTATTCAGCTACACAAATGATACTGATGAATCAGCTGAATACTTACAATTAACTTTCTTCTGGATGAATCTCAACTTCATAGCAGTTCTATATGAAGCAAACCTAATGAGATCAAAATTATTTGAACTCATTTCGTGGATCAATGCTAGTCTATGGTCCGACGAGCCGGATAAACCCTCTTGAGACTGCATCTTCCTAAAACAGTTTAAAAAATACTTTACTGTACCTTGTAAACCTACAAAAGGTATGTAAATATTATTGGAAGGATTATTTTATTTCTTTCGATTCCCATACCTTCTAGATTGTGGGGTTTCCAATTTATTTTAGCCGGGTTGTTACGATTTCTACTTACGGGTTTTCTGTGAAGAACAGTTTTTTCAAATGCAGTTAACTGAATATTTCTACATTTTTATCCATTTCTAATTTCCAATAATTTCTGGCCCTGCACCATTTTCTTGAGAATTTTGAGCGCACAAAACATAAAACGCACAGAACGTAAAGTTGGCACATGTCAAATGTTTTATCATGTCAAGCGCGACATCTACTAGGTAATAGATCAACTGAGTGCTCTAGACATTTTATGGGATAAACATTACTTTTAAATTACCAAATCGTACTCCTGCATCTCTTTATCTTGTTGATCTGTGGTCGTGACACAGAACATCTGTTTTTTCTGTATCTGTTTGTTGTTCTGTGGATTTCTGTCAAGAAAGATGATTTTGGTTATGTTCTGTTGACAACTTTTAAAATTCATTTACAACGATTTTCATTTCATCGTTTAGGATGTCTTTAGAACAAACTGCATGCGAAGGTGACGAATCTTTCTGTCGTGTTGTGGTTATAGCATATTAAAACAGACATTGTTGCAGATTTGAAAGCTTTCGAAAGGCGGTTGACTGAGGTGATAGCTTGTTTACATCCTTCTACAACAAGATGGAGAAGTGAGTCTCCTGTATTTTCCGTTTTCCATTAAAACAGTGCTATTATTTTTTGTATTTTTGCAGTTGTGCTAGTTGCTGTATCGATATGCGTTGCCACGGGGGCCAGCCAATGGATTCTAGATCCTGAAACAAGGATAGTTTCTTTATCACAGTCGCTTTCAAATCATCCTTTTTTTATATTATCGACTATAATATTGAGTAAGTAACATCATTACGCCCATATCAATTTCAATTTCGCCCCGTGTTACTTTGGTATCATTTCAATGGCCATATTTAAATTCAGCTCCCCAAATTACCGAAGTTTCATTTGCGATAGTAAACATTATTTTGCCTTACAATTGCTTTCCATAGCCGATAATTTTTTTAGCATTTCTCGTACTTTTTCATTCAAGAGAGAAGCAATGCTATCAATTCTGATTGATCATTAGTAAATGTTAACTTTGCACAGGCATCTGTAAGCAACAGACCAATTTCTCATCAATGAACTAAGCAAAGACACTTTTTCAGTCACTATATTGCTGCTAGGCGTTCACAAACGAGTGATAGCAGCGTCTATAATAACATCAAGAACTCGAGAGGTGTTAGGTGACTTCAACATGTCATGTGATGATACTGGAAAGCTGATTCTGCGACCAAGACCGACAAACATCACTTGACAGCAATTCACCAGTGTTGGTTACATTGTGTAAATATGGTAATATTAATGTGTATAGTGAGTCAATAAACTGTATTTAGGATGACTGAAGATATGAGGTTTTTTTTACTTACCTTATAATAATAGTAATAAAGAATTTATTGCCAAACAGTGCATATGTCATTTAGAGAGCACTGGTTTAATTTACAGTCTGTGTGCCATAAGGTGAAAAAAAATACAAAAAGAGAAAGACCTCTAAGTAGAGAGAAAACAAACTATAAATATGATTAATAGATATTAGGAAAAAAGAATACAGTGAAAGCTCCCATAAGCGGACACTCACGGTTCCGTAACTTTTGTCCGCTTATGGGAGGTGTCCGTTTAAAAGAGAGTATGTAAGTATAGAGTATAAATAACGGGGTATATAATCATGAGGAAATGAGGTATCATAATCATGAGAAAAATGAAACAGAAACTCGCCACATTTTTAAAGTATGTATTTATGCTATATATCTATATAATATTGTACATATACGCATACAAAAACATAAATGCTTCAATACATGGTACGAGAATTAAAAAAAAACATTATTCTTTAGCTTGTTGAAAAAATTTTAAAATGTTTGTCTGACGAAATTTCACCATCTTTTGCTGAAGGAGACAATTTTCGTAATAACTTTCTAAATTTTTCAAATGTTGAAATGCAGTGAAATCATCTTTAGCAAATTTTTTCAATATAGAAATATGATTTAGAGCTTCCCCATATGAATTTATCGTTTTTGAACCGCTTAGTGAGTCCACTTCTTCTTCTGAGTCGTTTGGACTACCATATTCAAGTTGGCCTGGGCTTTCTACATCCAAATTCGAAAAGTTGCCAATGGCATTTTCTTCTGTTGTTATGTTATTGTCTATGGCCAGGAAATCATCTACTTTCTGGGGATCTGCTACTCCTAAATGTTTGGCATGTCGCAGTAACTGAGCAAGTGTCGCTAAGGGCAGATCGTCTTCAGCATCGCAATAATTTTGCTCAGCAAATTCTGAGCTACATTCACTTTTTCTGATCCAGCTTTGCCAAAACAGTTTTTAATTGTAGAGGAATTTACTTTATTCCATGCTGTTTTTATAAAATACAAAGCTTCTAACACATTGATAGACTTTGTAAGCTCAGATAAGCTTTGACCATCGTCAATTTTTGTTAAAATATGTTTTAAAATCAAGTGCCGATAATAAAATTTAAAGTTCTGTATGACACCTTGATCCATGGGCTGACAAACAGAAGTTGTGTTTGGCGGTAAAAATATAATTTTCACATTTTTCATTTTCATATCACGAGGATGAGAGCATGCATTGTCTAAAAATAAAAGAACTTGCCTTTTTTGGATTCTCATTTTCCGGTCGAATTCGACTAACCACTCAGACATGATTTCTCGGGTCATCCATGCCTTTTTGTTGGATTTCCAAGTCGCTGGTAGATCCTTAATAGCAACGTTTTTTAAAGCACGGGGACGAGCCGCTTTCCCGATCACAATCAAATCGCATTTTTCACCGGCCATATTTGCACAGAATAAAATGGTTAGTCTATCTTTAGACAACTTTCCACCCACACATGTTTCTCCTTTAAAGGACAGAGTTTTGTCGGGCAATGCGCGAAAAAAAAGTCCACTCTCATCTGCGTTGTACACATCTTCTGGTTTGTAGCCAAGCAACATGGACGGAAGTTTCTCCAAAAATTGTGACACATCAACTTGATCTACTGCAGCAGCTTCGCCAGATATGCATTTGAAACTCACACTATGTCTCTTGCGCCACTTTTGCAGCCACCCGTCGGACGCACTGAAATTATTATAGCCCAAAGTAGTGGCGATTTCTTTAGCTTTCATTTTCACTAACGGACCTGAGATTGGAATGTTCTGACTTCTAGCTTTCACAAACCACTCAAAACATGTTTTGTCTATAGCAAAACCTTCCTTTTTTAAAAAATCCTTCTTTTGATTTATATTAGTTCCTGATTGCCATTTACTCCTGATATCTTCCTTATTTTTGGCAATTTCAGCTGCTTGCGTTTTCCCAATATTAAACCTCTTTGCCAAATGACGAACTGAAACACTTTCTCTGTCTAATACGTTAACAACTTCCATCTTTTCCTTTAACGAGAGCATCCTTTTTTGGTGCCATTTTACAGTTACAATAATAAAATACGTAACTCAATCAACTACGAATTTGCCTGAACTGAAGACAAGCCACAAGATTACATACAGGCTACCCAACGAAATGCGTAAATGGGGAATCACCTAATATAAATCGGGGAATTACCGAATTTTATGTATGTAGATATGTGCATTGCAATAAGCGGAACTAAAAAATCGTCCGGGTATTAGAGTTTCGCGTCCGCTTATGGGAGATGGGACATACAGGAAAATCTAGTGTCCGCGTCCGTTTATAAGAGCGTCCGTTTATCGGAATGCATTTAACATTGAAAATTGATGGCTGAAATTCGGTTCCAGGAACTTTGTCCGGTTAAAAGAGATGTCCGCTTATAGGAGCTGTCCGCAAGGAGAGCTTTCACTGTATACGTAGTCATGCCATAAGTTCTGTCCCTCGTTTTCAAACAAGTGTAGACCTGTTAATACTTGTCCGATTGTTTACATTGTGGTGTCAGTTGATTAAGCGCTTTTCGGGTAATTACATATACCTCAGTTTGTATTGATCTCTCGAAGCATAACGATGGAGTGGGGCAAGGCAGAGAACCGTATTGCAGTGATAGCTTTACATAAGTGTAATCACAGTGCTAGTCAGATTTTTGAACTCTTACGCGGCCTTCAAATATCGCGTAAATTTGTGTCTAGGACCATTCAGCGGTACAATGAGACGTCCTCTGTTGATGACAGGCCAAGAAGCGGAAGACCTCGTCAAGTAAGGACTCCAGCAGCCATCAAAGCCGTAAAAGCCAGGATTCAAAGGAATCCACTCCGGAAGCAGAAGATCCTATCCAGGGAAATGAAGATTCCTGTCCGGACGATGTCGCGCATCATTAAACAAGACCTAGGGCTAGGGGCTTACCGGAGACGTACGGGCCAGCGACTTACGGCCACCTTGCGACACATCAGGGCGACAAGATCCAAGAAGCTCTTGGAGAGGTACGCAGCTGGGGGATTCCGAAAGATTTTGTTCACGGATGAGAAAATCTTCACCATAGAAGAAAAATTCAACCGACAAAATGACAAAGTGTATGCAAGGAGTTCACAGGAAGCTTCGGAGATCATTCCGAGAGTTGAGAGAGGCCACCACCCTGCGTCAGTCATGGTTTGGTGGGGGGTGTCCTACGAAGGGGTCACTCAGCTCCATTTCTGTAAACAGGGCGTGAAACAAAAGCGGCAAACTATCAGAGCGACATACTTGATCCTATCGTCAAGCCTTTAAGTGGTACATTGTTTGCCAACCAACACTGGGTCTACCAGCAGGATTCCGCCCCCGCTCACAAGGCTAAGAGTACGCAGCGCTGGCTGGAAAGCAATGTGCCAAGTTCATTGCTGCGGAAGATTGGCCCTCAGGGAGTCCGGACCTCAATCCTTTAGACTACAAGTTGTGGGACCTGCTAGAGCAGTTGGCCTGCTCCAAGC